GTCTTACATAGGTTCCTGCTGCTGGTGGTCCCGGCATAATTTCCACTAATTCAACTCGGTGCCAATGTACAAACATACAAATATGCACTTATGTAAACTAGATATCATTTGTACGGATGTTAAGCGGCGGTGTGCGGCTATGTATCTGCACCTTGTCCATACTCGTATGTCGTACACGTATGCAGCGCGTATTATTCTTTGTTAACCATGGTTATGGTCATGGCTATGAGTTTGGTATGAGTGATTCCTCTGCGCGTAATAGACACGCATTACTCAAACGCAGCATGACTTCATTTTGTATGTACCACATATATACATCTCAGGCGTAACTCTCGCATGGGCTGTGAGTAAAATTTTACGGGGAATCATTACATTCGAATAAACATGCAATTGAAAAATTTATTTAAATCAATTTTATTAATTTGGTTATTTATGTGCAAGATCATTCATTCAATTAAATTGATGTAATAAATTTAGTGTCCGTACGAGTTATTCATTAGTGATTCATAATGGGATTATAAATCATTGATTTGTGCGTTTCAGGAGGATTTCCACTTAGAGGAAATCAATAACAGAAATGAAAATATTAATTTCTCAATGTTAATGTATTAAAATACCTATAAAATGTGGTCGAAGTAGATCTGCTGCTTAGGCAACTGGTAAGATTATAACATTTTTCTGCCGAAGCTGACAGGTTCTGTAGTAGGCTGCATACCTTTGCAGTAATCTGTGATAGGCAGTTGGAGACATGTTGGAGTGCACGTTTCGTAAGAATCTTAGACGTTTTATGACAGTGCAAGATTTAAAATTTTTTAAATGAATTGCTAGATAGCTTGCACATTTATTTATTAATAGAAGTATGCACAGAAACAAAGAAAATAAAATAAAATAAATATAAGTACAAATGTAACTGCAAGATGCATTTCAAAATCATTAAATTAAGAATCTTAAATATTTGATTACTTTAGAGGATTGGTATTAAAATCATATCAATACAAGAGAATCCTAGAGCAATGACCTTAACTGATTTACACCAATAAATACATAGATATTAGTGATGGCACAATTTATGATTATATTAAATATTATAAAACATCAAATAACTTTATTTAAGAATAATTAGTTAACACATACCAATTATCGTTCATTATATTCTCATGGGACATTTGCGTATTAGATTTTATGTAAATAACTCGAACTTCAATAGCTCGAACTTCTATAACTCGAATTTTCTATAACTCAAACTAAGTAGGGTGCAACAGGACTTATAGAGTGGATTACATACAAATACAAAAAAACTTAATTAGATTATTCAATAAATTGATGTGATGGCTATCAACATAACCACTTTCAGGCAAGCAGGACTCATCTTAAGCATACAGGTATAGCAAGATATTCTATATATTGTTTTTATTTATTTATTTATCTTTAGCTTCAAAATAGCTATCAGTTTTATACTGGAGAAATATCGTTAGGATATAGTAGTATTATAGTAGTATTCTCTTTAGGTCTGAGTAAAGTCACATCCATAGATGGGAAAACAATTTAAAGTGGTAAAAAAGTAATTTTTTCTTTTCCATATATTGAACATATTTATATAAAATGTAAATGTAAATTATTACAGTATTCGGTATTGATTTAAAATCTTTTCACATAGTGATCCAGACTCTCTCTAATCGATTTGAGTTACTCAACAAAAACAGTAGCTACTTTAAACAGAATTTCTGAGGTGTAAATGCTCATGTGAAATGGCGATAATCTTCTCTTATCTTTTAGATGCCAATCATTTCACATTAGTTCAATTTACTACAGGCTATTATTATATTATTCTTTCATTTTTCATTTTCACAATATGCCACAGTAGAACCGAGTCTAACTAACCACTATTTAATGCCTTAACAATATGCGGAATTTATATCTTTTCTGTGTTTTTGAAAGTTTCCAAAAATTTCCGAAAATATACTTTGGTATCCAATGACTCTAAGAAGTCGCCATTCTTTAGTACTTCGAGCATCCGCTTTAGATAACAATTTTCTACCCGGTGTAAGCTTTAAGTTTTTGAATATTCATTGTTATAATATGATTGTATAGATTTTTTTTGGCGTTTCTTTATATTTAAATGACTTAATTGCAGCCTGAAAAATGGAAAAAGGTCTAGAAAAATTATTTGGAATTAATCTAATATGCAGCAATTTTTGGAGTTATGATACCGAAATAATTATTTAGTAAATAATTATTAATCTTTTATTTTTAATTTAATAAAATTCAAAATTTTAGGAACGAACCTTTTCAGAAATTTAGAGAAGTTTTCAGTGATACATGATACACTACATCTCTTTGAATTTGATCCACACTTCTCATGCTATTATATTCGTTTATTTTACCAAAGAACCTTCTTTCGCATACGATTAATTAAGTTGAGGCTCTCACATGTTGTCTTTGCATTCATAACATCTGTTTAAGATTCAATTAAAGTGCATATATATAGCATTACATTGCTTTCTGACAACATTCTACTTATAATTTCGAAGGGAATAGGTATATAGGTTAAAACATTTAGAAAGAAAGTGTTTTGGATACACATTGTTGTGTTATTATTAATATTGTAAATATGATTTATTTATAACCATGAGCATCAATAAAACTGTTCAGCTCCTATTAATATGCTATATACGGAATAGACTAATACAAATGTCTATGCCTGATATAGCCATTTAAGCGATCATGGTTTGAATGTGGTAAAAGCTTAAAAATACTACAGATACCTCTAATATTAACAAAAAATATATATAACAAGTATACATACTACAGTTTATGAAATAGAAATAGATCAGGATGAAATTTGTTATATTTTAAGTACTCATAATTGTTACCATCTAATGTGCGAACACTTTTGATATGAAAACTGGAGGTTGTTAATTTAGACTTAACAAAAAATAAAAAAAATTTCTTTACTGAAACATGATATACAATTTGGAATGAATAGTTTTATATTTATATGAACTTACATATACAACTTTTATATATATTTCATATTTATAAATTTTATATTTATATTTATAGACAGTGCTATCCAACATTTGGGGATATTTGACAAGAAAGATGTAGGATTATAACTTGGGGTGAGATAAGTTCAGAGTTCCTTAATTAAGAGAAAGGATATTCTAAGTATTCTTAAAAAGTGCTTTTCAATATTTGAAGAAGTTTGGCAAGAATGGCATAGAATGTTAACCTAGATCGACATAAATTCAGAATACCTTAACTATCTAATGTTTGGAGATGTTTAATTACAAAGACGATGGAGTACTCATTTAGAGTCATAAAGATTAAAAATATCTTGTCTGTGCGAAAATATAATACTTAATAATAGTATTATATTTATAATATAATAGTTAATTATTTTTGCCGAAAGCTACGTTTTGTATGATGACAAAAAAGCTATTTTTTTTAAGTTAAAGGAATTCGAATAGCAAAGAAAAGCCAAGAACAAAAATTTAGTAAATTTATGGAAATTTGGCTAATCATACAACACTGTTTCGAGTATTGCCATCCATTAATGATGAGTACTTGACAATACTCGAAACAGCTAGTTTGGTTTTTCTTTACAAATATTAGACCTTACCTTAAACCTTACTTTATACTTTTTTTTGTTTCTTGGATTAAAAAATTATATTCTTTAATTAAAACATATTGAGACAAAATACCCTATTTATGAGAAAATATGGTTTTGTTTTGTCATCACAACAATTATGAAGTCATAAACATATCATATGATCTAATCTTTTTTAGAGGCTTAAGTCATCAAATTTTTTGATTAAATATATTTAAAGTATTTAGATCTCATATATCCTTATATATGTCTCAAAGTGTAACAAATATTATTACTGTTAATTATATATTAAATGAAATTTCAAATTGATTAAATGATATGGATGTCCATTCTCTGTCTTAAGCTATTAAAGTTATTACTGTCACCAAGATGATAGGCCGTCCTCTTTAAAAAATATTTGCGTCATATATCTATATATCCTTTGTATTATATTATATTATATATATTGGGTCTATTAGATATTTATTAATATAGTTAGTGTTAGATAGTTTCTTCAACAGGAAGCGCATTGAAGATAAATAAAGTCTGCATTTGAAAGTATGACTATATGGTTGATGAACTATTAATGAATTAATGATTTTTATTAATGAAATTCATTGAAAGTATGTCAGCTACTTCATGTAGTTTCATTGTACATACTTAATAAAAATTAAAATATCTTTAAAAAGTTGTTTAATAATATGAATCTATTACCAGCTATCACATTCGATATGACTGTAAGTGTTGTAAGCAATATTTTTTTTTTAAATAAATAAGTAAAAGTCAATACGTCATTAGTTTCTTAATAATAACATTTTTGAATATAGATAACCCACTTTTGATACCAAAAAATATCTATTAAATATTAAGTTTTTTTATAATAATTATGAGGTTTTGTTGGATTTTTTTGTACTGTTTTCGACGTGCAAAAAACTAAAATTTGTTATTTATTGTTGTAATGAAAATAAGAGTTGAGGCACGCAACTTGCAAACTTTAAATCGAAATGTTTTACGATTGGAGCCCTGCTGATTTATAACTTGTTTAAATAACATTAATAACATGAAATTTAGGAAAAAAAAGTTTGTCATGCAAAATGAGATCCACAATTTAAGATAAAAATATAATAAAAGAAACATTTTAAACTGCGATGTACAAAAAATATTGGCAACTTTGGAGTTATGGGATATCTATTCGTTCGCTATTAATTGGTCAGTATTCTTAGTCTCATTATTATTATTATTATTTATTATAACATATTTCTATTATAATTAAAAAGATTTTTCAATAATCTATGTACTGAGAGCTACATATGAACACTATTTCAGCTTTATGAAAACTAGTTCCTTTGTTTTCATTTGAATAATATCAAAGTAAACTCTCGAAGAAAGGACATGAGAACACCTGTTGTGTCTATGTCCAGGCCTGGTCAGAACTATGCTTAGGTTTTTGAGGGAGCCCTTCTTTAACACACTCAGCGATATTTCCAGTATAAGTATTGGTCAGACTCTCGTCTTTATAAATGCTTCTGGCTGGTTCTAGTTCAATCTTTTTCTGCCCTTTATGACGAGGAATTGTGGATTTAAAACGGCTTTCTGAGCTTATTAGAAGTACCTATTTGTTCATAACTAACCAACTAAATCAAAATAGTTATAAGTTATAGTTATATCATATTAACCCGTCGCTTTCGGTAAAGAAAAAAAAATTGATATCAAAGTTAATTTACAGGCTGTCAACGAGTTCTTTTTATGGTAAGTGAATCGAAGTACGAACAGATCAATTTTCTTTGCGAATTTTGAATCAAAGTGGTAGGCTATATAAATTAACTTCTTTGGATTATTTTATTTAGTTGTTAATTTTTTCAACAGCTACAAAATATAAAATAGCTGATAAGATGATTCTCAGCTTTATATTTATCACCAGAATTGGTTTCCATGCTTCATGCTCAGAACATTCAGTGTGTGAGAAAGTCAGATTCTAACATCCGGATGTTTTAATTTCTAGAAGTTATGAATTGTAAGCGTTAACTGCATCTATTTCAAAAAGTACTGCATTTGTAACATAAAGTACTATAAATAGAGAAGTTTAAATACCAGACAGATCGTAGCATAGTTTCCAATTGATTGAAATAAATACTGCATATATATATATAGAAACAATTTGATTATATAGTTGTTTGTTACTGAGATAATTATTTTATTTGATTTAATGGGTAGCAAAATATTTTATTTATTTTGTTTTATTTTATTTTATTTTATTTTATTTTATTTTATTTTATTTTATTTTATTTTATTTTATTTTATTTCATTTTATATTATTTTATTTTATTTTATTTTATTTTATATTATTTTGTTTTATTTTATTTTATTTTATTTTATTTTATTTTATTTTATTTATTTTATTTCATTATATTTTATGTTGTTTTATTCCATTATATTTAATTTTATTTTATTTCATTATATT